CCATATCATTGTTGTGTTGCGGGTATTTTGGGGCATGACTAGTTTCAAAGACCTAGGCAGGGTCTGAGGTCTTGGTAACCTCAGCAGTCCTTAGAGTATTCAGTGGCCCTGTGGACATGTTAGCTATCACACATTTTTAAAGTGAATGTCTTTTAATTGAGGGCTTGACATTATTAAGAGCTCTGTCTAATTTTCTCGGTTTCCTCCTTTAGAGACTATCTGTAAGACACAATTTTTCTTATTACCTGTCTAGCTCTTCTTAGTTTAGCACCACACCAATGTTCTTTACTTGCAGCTTATTTTCTTTCAGATAGTAATAAAGATGTGTAGTCAGAACAGAGTGAACAGCAGTTCTTTTGGGAGGCTGTGGATCGAAAGTGGGTAAACAGAAGATGAATGTCAGTGGAAATTAATCTCTCATCTGGAGGCTGGGAGGGTAGACAGCAGAAAATGTAGAAATGAAAAAGTATGAAATCTAACAGGTTATAAATGGGAGAAGAGAATGTTGTCAACTTGGAGGAAAGGTCAGCAAAGCCAAATAAAGAGAAGTAATCTTAAATATAAATATTTAAGAAGTCAGTGCAAGTGAGACTTGCTGTGGGTGTAAGAGTGGAGAGAGTGTTAATGGATAACAAAGTAGTCTGACATTTGAACGATATGACAATCCAGGGCTATCATGGGCTATATAGGAAAAGAAAGCCTTCAAGCTTTGAGAAATGGAGGGAGAAAAGGGTATTGGAATTTAAGAAAGACATCATTTGGGCAGCTGATTCCCCATGGTCTTCTCATTGTTTCATATCTTGGGGCTCTACTGGTATCATTTAGTAATATTAATCAGTCTCTACCTGCTAGTATTAACCAGACTCTTTCTTTTTAAGAATTGTTTTTATTTATGCGTACAGAGCTGGGGTACAGGCCAGAGGTGCAGGGGGGTGAGAGGATTCATCAGAGACAGAGTGGGGAGCAGAACGGGCAGATCAACTGAAGAATACTGCTGAGGGGAGTGGCAGAGAAGACAGGAGAGGTCTGTGGCGCCATGTGGATCAGCTCCCTGGCTGGGGACCACACTCATGCTGCAGTGAGTGTGTATAGCTTCGTAGTGCCAAACCTCAGCCCCTTGTGCCATCAGGGAGGCCCCAGACACTATATTGTTAAGCCCCAAACCAGAGTAGATTCTGCTCTCTTGCCAGTTCACAAATTAACTAATGGTTTATTTTTACAGTGAAAGGTTTAGAACTCTAAAAGATAGAAGTTAGTAGAAGAGGTATTCCCACTCTTTTTTTCTTCTCAGATATCATTTTGTTACAAGTAGCTATTAAGGGCATTAGTTTCTCAGTTCTTTGCTGGTGAGCTCTCTGTCCTTAAGTTATATTGAAAAGCAGAATCTGAGGCCTTCTTGGTCTCAGGAAGAGTGGTTATGAGTGCAGAGTAACCTTCCACAGGCACACCTTGCCCTGCCTCTCTCTTTTGAGATCACTTGCTGCACTTTTCTATATTTGAGGTGAAAATTAATGATTTAATCCAAAGTATAACTTTACTTGCTTGAGGACCTTAAGTGTGGACTTTTCTTTCTAATGAGGGGAGGTTTGGTGAAACCTTTCCCAGAGTGAACCCAAGGAACCCAACTCCAGAAATGACATCAGTAGTGATGATGATTGCGTCCTGTGCCTCCAGCTGCACCCCAAGCAAGAATTGTGAATTATTCTGACAGGGTATGATGTAAAGACTAGAACATCTCATGATTTTGTGCTCTCCCTTATCATAACTTGCCTAAGTTATCTTTGGGAAGAAAATGGCATAAGCTTTACACATACTTCCTAAATATAGTTTATCCTGTATCCTAGTTCTTGTATGCATAAATAAATAAATATATTTTTAAAAAAAGTTTATCAATTATTTTGTTCAAACCGCCCCCCCCCAAAAAAAAAAAGGTTCTCAATATGTAAATGATCAAGATACCTAGGTTTGCCTCACAGGATTATCCAGCAGTCCTCCCTAACCTCTCAACTGAAGCTCCCATCATCCTTACATGAAGTTGATAGCACCAACCCCAAATCAAAAGGATTTGAAGTTTTTAGTTATTTTTACAATGGTAAGGGCACAAAAGGAATGCTTTTATTTGTGTTGTGGTAGAATATAACATGGGAGAAAGTATTGCAGAGGGAATTAACCCGATCTTTGCAGAAGGAAGCTCTAGAATCTCATTCAGTGATATCTTTCTTTCAAAGTTTCATATGCTTTTTATCACTGGAGATGATTTTGGCAGTGAGTGCCATTATGTCTCTAAGATTTAAATAACAAAGTGTGTTACCATCGATGTTTTGTTGTATAGAATTGAAATGTATATGTGAAAGGCAGAGCTAGGGGAGGTGTTAGATACATTTTCAGGTTGCATTTACCCCCAAACACAACATTTTGATGCTGTTAATAGGTGTGCTATTCATCAGAGGTGTTACCTCTGCGTTGCTTCCCAGTATACACTGGAGCGACAATTAAAAACTTGATAAATGAAATAACAGGCGTAGATTATGTATTAACTATCTCAGTGACCCACATCATCAGCTAAGCAATAAATCTTTGGGAGAATAAATTGGTGTCTGCTTTTAAATTGGGTGGCCAAGGACATTTTAACTGTGTTTTAAATGACAAGAAACAGTCAGTCATTTGGAGATGCTGGGAAACCTTTCATGTATTCTAAGTTGGAAAGGCCTCAAAGTGAGAATGTACTTGGCCTGTTCAAAGACTAAAAAGAAGGCTGGTGAGGATGGTGAGGAGGGACATGGGCAGAATAGAATGTGGGGTTGGAGAGGGGTGCAGAAAGGATGAGGATATTTATGTTCAGTGCTTAGTAAGAAGGGAAGCCTTTAATGTATTTTAAGGGGAAAAATACTGGCTGATGTCAAGTGATAGATTACGAGTAGGCAAGAGAATATGGTTATGGGTTGAGAGTAGCCAAGACGTAGGTTGGCACAGTAGTAAGATGGTAGTTGAAGGAGGAAAAGAATAGAAAACCTGAAGGAGACATCACAGGATTGAAACCTGACTCATGCAAGGAGGTGGGGGCAGAAGGAACTAAGAAGATCATTAACCCAGTCATGGAGACTCCTATATATATATAGAGACTGCTGTATCAGACTGCTGTAGGGGATATCAGAGGCACAGACCTGAGGATAAAGATACAGAGACTGGGCCCACTGTGAGATTCCACATAGTTATCCAAAATCAGCAGCAAACAGACCAGTTACAAAGGAGTGAGCCCTCGCAAAGAGAAAAGGACTATACCAGGGCAGTTTCTGCACTGGCTTGGAGCCGCAGTCTTCTGCCCACCTGTGACTATGCAGGTACTTCTTCCCATCTACTCTCTCCCTTTGCAGGGCAGCAGCCTCCTGCATGCCTGTGACCTATACCATGCCGGGGCTTCTCTGCATTGACCACCCTCAGTGGAGGCTGCTCTCCTAAGGACACCTGCCTACAACCATGCAGGCCTCTTAGCAAACTTGTCCCTTTGGGGTAGTTCTCCCTGCCCTCTTGGGTCTGTGCAAGTGTCCTTCTCTGTCTGTCCTTGCTCCTAATAAGCCTGCTTTTTAAATATAACTGAGTCTCTATCTTGAGGAGAAACTCGCCTGGGGAACTCACTGAGTACTGCTGAAAGGGGAGCTTTGGTGAAACCTTTCCCAGAGTAAACCTAAGGACCCTGAACTCCAGAAATGACATCAGTAGTGATGAGGATTGTCTCCTGTGCCTCTAGCTGCACCCCGATATTTCTCCCACTTATAAGATGGAGGAGAGTAGCATCAGGAAGAGCTGAGAGAAAGGATATAAGAAAGAAGTCAAATGGGCAGGCAGGTGGGATAAGTAATAGCACTAAGTCATTGCCTCTCCCTCAGGTACTTTTCTTTTGCATTCAATTTGCAAGGAGCTCAACCTTCTAGAAGACATAGTGTCTTCAAAAGTCACTGAGGACCTAGCTCATCATTGACTTCTGACCTCTGGACTATTTCTATAATCAGAAGCTCAAATTTTTCCATCTCCTTTACTTTCTTTCTGTACAAATGTCTTGGATATCTGGGTGCATGGTAGGTAGGTGGGATTCCAAGGATTGCTGAATTTGCTTAAGTAAAAAATGAGCTAATGCTTTTGGTCACATACCTGGCAGAGCCTCAATTTCAAAAGGAAGGAGCAGGGTGGCTCAGTTTATTGTGTTAACGTTCAGGGATTTTTGCATTCCTCTTTCTTATTCCATCCTCCTGATTGTGAGGTACATCAAAAGCCCCCATTTTACAAAGAAAAAGACAAGGCTCAAAGAGGTTCTTCTTTTATCCAGTCACACAATTTGCAAGTGGCTGAGCCATAGTCTTGTACTCTATACTCCCCGTACCTCTCCTTCGTTGGAGTTTTAAAAAGTTTATTTCCCTCTTTTCTCTGTATCACCTCATAGATTCTAGCAAAGAACAGATTGTGGGAAAGCCTATGATTTCTTTCTTTTATGTACTGTGTTTACCTCCTCTATCCCAGAGAGTGCCCTGTAAGGTGCTCAGCAAACATGTGCGGCCAGAGACAATAACCCCTTCTTGCTGCTCCTGTGGGGCTGGCATGAGAAGTAATGCCGGGCTGGTGAGCTGGATTGTGTTCCTGCTGCTGCTACTGCTACTGCTTCTAGGTGATGGGGAGTAACTCTTCTGCCTGTGTCTTGCCTCGAAGACATTTTCCATTTTCTAGCCTCCTCCCGCTCTTTATCCCTCACCTCTCGCCCCTCAACTTCAGCTCAGGTCCCCAGGGGAGCTCCCTTGCTGCGGGGCTGGCAGCGTTTGGGGGCGCGGGGTCTCAGATTTCGGTGCTCTAGACCATCTGTGCGCAGAGCCTCGTTCCCGGGCGCCTGGAGCCCGGCGGGCATTGACGTCAAGAGGCGGCGGAGCTCTGCCTACAGCCGGTTGACCCGTACCCTCCTCCACTCCCCCTTCCTTCTTCGCCCCCTCCCTCTTCCCTGCCACCGGGCTCCGTCCTGCTATAAAAGGCGGGAGCGCGGGGTGCTCCAGTAGTGCCGAATTTCAGCACCATGGAGAGTCCCCGCCTGCGGCTGCTGCCCCTCCTGGGTGCCGCTCTGCTGTTGCTGCTACCTCTGCTGGGCGCCCGTGCCCAGGAGGACGCTGAGCTCCAGCCCCGAGCCCTGGACATCTACTCCACCGTGGAGGATGCCTCTCATGAGAAGGAACTGGTCGGTATCCCCCTCGCCCCGGACTCCCCTGCGCTGCCACGCGGTCCCTTTCTTTGTAAGCTTTCCTCTTCTCCGCGCCTCCCCATCCCCATTTCCAGAATCCAGGAGTCGGGAGCTGAGCCTAAAGCCCGGTCTTCCGCAGCCATCAGAAGATCGTTGGGAGCTTGTGGGCTCCAGGCAGGCTTTAGAGCTAACCCCTTGCTTGGAGCAACGACCCTCAGTGGTTTAGAGACCTGCCGTCAGTGCCTAGGACTAAGTTTCTACCACTCCAACACCTCTTTCGCTCCGAGATGTCCGAGGGCAGAGTGTGTGTGGGTTTGGGGCTCTTTATACCTAGAACTGGAAGTGAGCGCCTGGGCTGGGCTTGCAGCCAAGGCGGCAACTTTGGGCTCCGGGGCGGTGTGTTACAGATCGAAGCGCTGCAGGAAGTCCTGAAGAAGCTCAAGAGTAAACGCATTCCCATCTATGAGAAGAAGTACGGTCAAGTCCCCATGGTAAGGTTTTGGGGGGCACCCTCCCTGTTTTCCCAAGAGGAAAGACACCACTTTTGAGTTTCACATGCGACTTTCTCCTGAGGATGTGACTAGATAATCCACGTAATGGGTTTGCAGTAAGCTCTTCTTTGTTTCCACCTGCAGCCTTTACTCCTTCTAAGGCGAAGGGTAGGCTGGCCGTTTGGGAGGATTGAGCAGCTTGACCTAGTGCCAGCTCTTGGGTTTGTGTGGAAGATATATTTTCTGAACATAAGCTGTTCCCCCTCTCCCCCCATCCCTCAGTCTCTGAACTGGAAGAGCCCTTAATTCCACTCAGTTCTCTTTCCTTCAGTTTTCTTCCTGCCTAACGGAGTACTGCCGGGTTTTAAAATTTAAATTCTAGAATCAGAATTCTTGAATTGGTTCAGGTTAAGAATTTTGGCGAAAACACATTTAAATCTTTCTTCTCAGGGTGAAGGCATGGAAAGCAGGGAGTAGGAACTGTGAAGGGGTACACAGTTGTTTCCTTCTTCTGAAAAAGTGTGATTGACTTTTTTTTAAAAAAGGAACTAAAGGAGCCAAGAAATGTGACTTCCTCCCACCAAAAAATAGTTGAAAGTAAGAAGCAAGATTAATAATTGAATTTCTCTCTTACATCGAAATTGTAAGCATTTGGCTCCCTGCATTTCAGTCTGACTACGTTTACATCTCTGGTGATGAAGATGGGGTGCAAATGTCTCTCCCGCAGGGTGGAAATTGTGTTGACGTGGATTTGGGTGGCTTTCCCTTTGACCACACTTTGTGATTTTTGCAGTGTGACGCTGGAGAGCAGTGTGCAGTGAGAAAAGGAGCGAGGATCGGGAAGCTGTGTGACTGCCCTCGAGGAACCTCCTGCAATTCTTTCCTCCTGAAGTGCTTGTGAGGTGTCTAACTGCCTTCGGAATCCCATTGCCCCCACCTTCCCTGAGAGGGCCTGCCTGTCCCGGAGTTTGGCTTTTCACTACAAAGTTTGCATTTCCCTTTGAGGCAAAGGGGCTCTTTCCCTGCTGTTTCCAAATAAAAGAACACATTAGCTGTTACTGTGTGAAGGATAATGACTTGTATGGTGTTGATATGCGTGTAAAGTATTCTTTTCATTTATTTGTCTGACAAACTCCTGTGAATCTTTGTGCAAAGATGGGAAACTTCACTTTGAATACTGTATTTTTGTATGTGGCATGGCAGGATGAAAATTAGGTCTAGTTAATTTTGGTAGATGACATCACAATCTGATAAATCACCCCAAGCAACACAAATTGAAGCATGTACAAACTATACATAATAAAGTGTTTTTAATAATCACTCATGCATCATTGTTTCTACATAAGTAATTGAAGTAGGAATGGTAGGATTAATCATGCTGTTGTTTTCAAAGAGAAATATTTTAAAAATAGCAGTCTATTGGGAGAACAGCACCTTGGCTCCAAGGAGTTTTGATCATTAATTAGGAGTTTGCCACACAAGCTTTGGTACACTATTTTTCTTTTGATTGCAGTGGTGCAGAGTGTGTGTGTGTCTGTATGATGTGAGTGTGTGTTTGTGATGAGCTGGAGGTGATTTGAGTTAAGTTGGTATTATTTTGTTTATTAAAACCTTTAGCTAGGCCCATTGTCTTTTTTTTATTTTTTAAAGATTGATTTATTTATGCTTGCAGAACTGGGGTACAGGCCAGAGATGCAGGGGTGGTGAGAGAATTCACCAGAGATGAGTGGGAAGCAGGCAGATTGACTAAGTACACTGCTGATGGGAGCAGCAGGTGAGTCAGGAGAGGTCTGCCACGCCATGTGGGTCAGCTCCCTGACTGGGGATTGAACTTGTGCAGCAGTGGCTTCAGAGAGCTTTATAATGCAGTGCTTTAACCCATTGCACCACCAGGGAGAGCCCTAGACCCATTATCTTTAGTAGAAAATTCTCAAGGATCAGTTGTCTTAGCCACACTGAAAAGCAATTAAAAAAAAAATTAAGACTTCTGTTGTGACAACTCTTATTAGACAATAGGCATTGATTTAAAAAAAAAAAAAAAACTTCTGGTGGGGTGTTGTTTGTCCACAGGAATGGAAATAGCTGTATCAGGTCCTCTAAGAGTGTGAGACCCAATCATTCCCAGGAGTAAGTACACCATCTCAGAAAACTCTGTTCAAAGGAAAAATAGTCATTTTGTAACTTGTAACGGTGTGGTCCCCAAGAAAAGAGGAGACTCCATCCAAGGGCGGGGCGGAGCTGAGCAGAGGATGCAGAGGAATATCTGGAAAGGAGACTGGAGGTGGGAAGGTAGAGGGATGCGAAGACAGGTGACCTGGAAGGAGGTGCACAGGCAGAGACATGTGAAGAAACCACACTTGCTTCTTGTCTTTGGATTGGCTGAAACAGCTGTGGGTGAGAGACGGGGCGGAGATTAACAATGGCAACTTTTGCTTGTTTTGTTCCTTCTATCCCAGAAGTGGGAGGCCCCTTCTGCCCCTTTCTTATGGGTCCTCACCAGGAGATGCCTTAGTCTGGGGGCAGGCTTTCCAGCCCAGGGGCCCTGCTTTGGACCAATCCCTTTTGGATGGACATTTACCCACAGGGGATGGGTAACTTAGGGAGTTTGATAAGAAACCATATTCTTTGTCTTTGTTGAGCACTAACTAGCTGTATTAAGATTCCTTTCCATTAAAGGTCTTGCACAATACTATGTTTTGTCTTGATGCAGTGGGTGGCAGAACCTATGCAGAGTGGGCATATTTGGGGGTTCTGGGGTGCCTCTCATGCCCTATAACAATTTTAGTAAAATAGTTTTGAAGGAAACAAACTGAAAATGTAAATTCAGTATCCTTGAAATGTTTCTGAGTGGTTATCCAGTATCACATGTCTGAGGATTTAAGCTTGGCCATGTAACTTTTAAGCAGCAGCACAATGCTTGTAGCTTCCTAATGTAAATTAAAGAGGCATCTGTATAGTAGTAGAATTAAAAAAAGTTCTTTGAGTGTTCATAGGGTAATGCAGTAAGTTGGTAGACGATAATATCACACATTTCCAGTCTTAAAAAAAAAAAGATGTTTATTTATTTATGCATACAAAACATGGGGTGTAGGCCAGAGATGGGTGTGTGTGTATGTGTGTGTGTGTGTGTGTGTGTGTGTGAAAGAGAGAGAGAGAAAGAGAGACAGAGAGATAGGATTCACCAGAGACAGAGTAGGGAGCAGAACAGTGTGTTCTACTGAAATATACTGATGAGGGGAGCGGCAGGCCAGATAGGAGAGGTCTGCATGTGGTTCACCTCTGGCTGGGAATTGGAATTCACAGTGCTGTGCTTTAACCTGTTGCACCACTAGGGAGGGCCAGATTGAGTCCATTTTAATGACAAAAATAGTCACCCATGTCTACTTTCCCATGGAGGCCTTCTGAATTCTTTTAAGAACATGTGCCATTTTGAAAGATAAAGATTAGAGAAAATTTAAGATGTGGGAAATAGTGTGAATGAAAGTACACAGGATGGAGAAAGCAGTTAGAAGAACTTGAGTGTTGAGTCCGTGGGTCGTAAAATGGTGAAAGAGGAGAAAAGGCCCGTCAGACTGTGGGTATGAGAAGAGTGTGTTGGGAAGCTCATATTTATACCACCCTGCCAGGGAGGGGGACGTGGGCAAGGAAGGCATGCAACAGTTCCTGGAAGACGTGCCCAGGGCCTGGATGGTTAAGGGCAGTGAGGATGGGCAGGATGACAGAGAAGTTGGCTAGGGCGAGTGTGAAGCACAGCTTCCCAAAGCCCTTCTGCTTGTGGTGGGGTTCATCTATGGTGAAACAGCTCGGAGCGGGCACATGAGGTTAGGGACATCCAGTTTCTAAATGTTTTAACTTGAAATTTAGCATATCTGCCTTTGAAAAGTCAGCTTTATTCAGGTATGATTGTGTAGAGTTAAATTCATCTTTTTGAAGTGTACGCGCCACTCCCTCCATTTCGTGTGTTACATGGTTCTTTTGTGAAAGGCCAGTGGAAATAGATGATACTTGTTTTCCTAGTGTTTCCATGTACCAAAAAGAATTTCTGGCATGTTGCAAACCCACCGTTATGTTCTCAGAACGTAGAAGACTCCCAGACACAAGAAAACCAAGCAGGAGCCTGAGGTCTGAAGTCCGAAGTCTGTTTATTAGGATGCCCATGGCTGTATATAGGGTCTGTAGGTGCAGGGAAAAACAGGAAATGTGCCACACGCAAAGGGTGGTGTGCATATTTGTACTGGGCCTGGGGCTTCTTGTAGCTTCTACTTGAAACAAAGTGTGGGCTGCAGCTATTTGCAGGACAGAGTGCTCTGTGTTCTGCTGACTTGTTGGCCTTCCTGGGGAGTGTGCTCACCCATGCACGACATCAGCCAGGGCGGACAGGTGCACTTGAGGTCCTGCAGAATTAGCCACACTGGCATTTCAACTTGGGAAGTCAGAATTGGGTAGAGAATTGGTCTGGTTTAGAAAATCAAAGTCTTGAAACTATTGAAGCCATGGAGCCTTATAGCCCCAGGAGTCTGAAGGCTGGGTGATGGCCTACGCCAGGAAAAGGAAAGGCAGCAGGAGAGGCTTGCAGCACAGAGGAGAAGTGCCAATGTCCCAGGGGCTTGGAGAGCCTTTAGGTTTCCTCTGGAGTCTAAATCAGACATGGCTTCACCGAGCAGAAGCCAGGAGCACTCCATAGGAGCAGGAAGCCTGGCTTCCAGTCCAGGCTCTGCTGTGAATTAGCTGTGAATGTGGGTGAGTCTTGTCAGCATTCAGGGCCTCAAGCTTGCAGATGGCTCAGCTTCCCCTCCCCATTGAGACCTTTCGGGAATATGTTCTATTTTATTTGATCATGTCTAATATTCTTTGCTTGAGCAATCAGGAAATGCAGCAAATCTTCTCTAAATTCGTTTTGATTTTACTTGGCTTTCAGGCTATAACAAGAAAAAATAAAACAAAATCACATCAGTTTTATTAGTTAGGGCTTCTAAAATGCTAAGCAGGTCTGTAAATAACCCTGAACTTCTGGAATTTGAAGAGAAGTGCTTTTTTCTCTCTTTTTCTTATTTTAATTTTTCTAGTATATTCGTTACGTCAGCCTTCATTTTTGTACAATGTTTGATTTCCCTGTAAAAGTCCCACCACCAGTTCATCTGCGCACCATTACCACAATCCCTTATGCTCTTTCTACTCCCATCCTTGTCTGGAAGAGAATTGATTTTAAAGTATATGATTCTGGGGCATCCCTGGTGACAGAAGAGGTTAAGTCTCAGCACTGTGAAGCTATCACCAACCACTGAAGCCTGAGTTTAATACCTCAGTAGGGAGGTGACCACATGGCATAGCAGACCTCTCCTGTCTCACCCACTGCTCCCCTCAGCAGTGTACTTCAGTACATCTGCCTGTTCTGTTCCCCACTCTGCCTCTGGTGAATCCTCTCACTCTGCACATCTTTGGCCTGTAATGAGTTCTTGTATGCATAAATAAAACAAATCTTTTTAAACAAGTATATGCATTTATATTACATATATAAATTAATATAATTCTGTAGCTATATAAAATTATAAAGTGTATTATATAAATACTATGTATACCTTAATTTAAATGTCTATATAAATATACAGTTTCTATAATATATAATGTGAATTTAACATACTACTATATAATTCATATATAATTTACACATGATTTAAAAAACAAATACATATAATACACAGTTCATCTGTGTAAGTAACTGTTTAAACTAACTGAAAGAAATCTGAAGAGGATGCTGGCTTTTATGACAAAAAGCTTAAAATAAAACGTGTGTTCAGAACATACATTCTTACTTCAGTGTATTTTGCCGTGTAATTACAAATTTCAGTGTAGCCAAATGTATTAATCTTTTCCGCCTAATTTAAACCATAATACCATCTCAGACTATAACGACAGTCCCTTATGGTTTTCTACAAGAAAAACTTGCAATTTTTACCTTCCCTTAACATTATTAGTCCATCTGAAATTAATTTTTATGTGTGACAATCTAAGATTGGAGTTTTAGTGCTTTCTTTCCATATGGACAAGTCCCTGTCTTAGCATTTATCAAAGAGTCTGCCTTTGGATTTTGATTGGAACTGCTTTGGCCTTGTTAGTTAATAATGGAAAATATTAACCTGATTACATCTTTCCACCCTTGAACATGATAAGGTCTTTCTATCTTATTTAGACTTTTGAAAATGTCCTTCAGTAACTAATGCTTGCCTTTGCATAGGTTTTATTTATTTACTTATTTTAAGATTTATGTATTTATGCATATAAGAA